GTATCTAGCTCGGAGGGAAGCTATTCTTGAAATACGTGTGAACTGTAAATTTGAGACTTAGCAAATGCACCAGAATAATCTATCTTTATTCATAGGTTCCAATGCCTTTTTATAGGAAATACATGAAAGTTAAAGAAAAACGAAAATACAGGACATGACTCAACTAACTCCACTACTGACAGAAAAATAGGAAATAGAAATTGACTTGTTCCAACCCTGAAGAATAGGTCTTTATTGAAGTAAACTAAAAACTGAAGAAAAACTAACTCAACACTCCCTCCCTTGAACTGAACTCAATCAAGCGTTTCAATTCACAATTTTCATCCCAAATGCTTCTCTGATTCTTTGAAATGATGCCATCTTCAAAGGCTTTGTCATTATGTCTGCCAGCTGCTCCTCAGTGCTGCAATAGACCAATTTAACAACACCTTCATTTGCCAACTCTCTGAGAAAATGATATCGAACCCTTATGTGCTTTGACTTTCCGTGCATGACAGCATTTTTTGACAACTTGATAGTGGATGTGTTGTCACAAAACAGAACCATCTCTTCATCTTGTTCATGCCCGATTTCTTTCAATATTCTTTTCATCCAGATGGCTTGACAGGCACATGTAGCTGCTGCTACATACTCTGCTTCAGTAGTTGACAGAGTGACGATTGGTTGCTTCCTTGAGGACCATGCCACAGCTCATCCACTCATTAAGAAAACATATCCTGAAGTGCTCCTACTGTCATCCACATCCCCCGCATAATCACTGTCGGTGTAGCCTAAGAGTTCACTTTTTCCTTCATGTTGATACCATATTCCAAATTCCAGAGTTCCCTTCACATACCTCATGATTCTTTTTGCAGTACCAAAGTGCAACTCAGTAGGATTTGCCATAAAACGACTAATAAGACTTACCACGAACATCAAGTCAGGTCGTGTGGCTGTGAGATACATTAAGCTGCCCACCATTTGCTTATATAGTGTTGAGTCGACCTTCACACCAGCTTCATCCCGGCCAACCTTCTGTCCAGAGACTATCGGATTACAAACAAAGTTGTAATTCTGCATCCCAACCCTCTCGATCAGCTCAGCAGCATATTTTCTTTGACATATAAAGATGCCATCAGCCTTCTGTATCACTTCAATGCCAAGAAAATATCTCATCTTCCCCAAATCAGTCATGTCGAATTCATCCTTCATGGAGCGCTTAAACTCATTCAACAACTCTTCATCATTACTAGTGAACAATAAATCATCAACATAAATGCTCACAATTATGATTTTACCTCCCTTTTGCTTGATGAATAATGTTTGTTCACTAGAGCTGCTTACAAAACCTTCTTTGACGATATAAGCCTCAATGCGACTGAACCAAGCTCTGGGTGCTTGTTTTAGTCCGTAAAGGGCCTTATGTAGCTTATAAACCATGTCCTTCTTCCCTGCTACTTCATAACCTTGTGGCTGCTCTACAAATACATCTTCCTTCAGCTCACCATGTAAGAAAGCAGATTTGACATCGAGCTGATAGATTCCCCATCTTCTTTGTGCTGCTACAGCAATGATCATCCTTACTGTATCCATTCGAGCCACTGGTGCGAATACCTCTGTGTAATCTACTCCGTACTCTTGAGCATATCCTTTTACAACCAGCCGAGCTTTGAACTTGTCTATCTCTCCCAGTTCATTTAATTTGGTCTTGTAAATCCACTTAACCCCAATAGCCTTGGCTCCAACGGGAAGTGTAGTTAGTGACCACGTGTGATTCCGTTCGATGGACTGTATCTCAGCATCCATCGCTTGTTTCCAACTCTGATGTCTGATGGCTTCTTGAAAACTGGTTGGATCTGATATGATCATAAAAGCTAGAGTTTCAATCGCGACTCTAGCCATGTTTACTTCTTCCTCTATAACTGATAGCCCTTCTCCTGTGATATAATCTGCAGACCATATTGGTGGTTTTCTCACCCTGCCAGTTGTTGTTATCGTTTCTCCAGTTGATGGATTATTTGGTGAAGGAACATCATAAGTGTATTCTTCTGTTTCTTCCGCTTCCTCAACACTTTCATAATTGTTTTCCCACTCGAGTTCAATGCTTTCTTCACCAGAATAATCAACAGCTTCCCAATTCCACTTCTTATCTTCCTCAAATATCACATCTCGGCTAATGTGAATTCTTTTCTCCACTGGATCGAACATCTTAAAAGCCTTGGATTCACTGCTGAAACCTAACAGGACACACTTCACGCTTTTATCATCAAGCTTGCTTCTTTTAACATCTGGGATATGAACATAACCAATACATCCAAAAACCCTGAAGTGTTCGACTGATGATTTTCTTCCACTCCATGCTTCTTCTGGGGTCATGTCTCTTACAATGAGTGTAGGAGATCTATTAAGAACATGATTCACCCATTGCACAGCATCTGGCCAGAAAACTCTTGGTACCTCCTTCTCTAACAAAGTTGCTCTCACCATGTTCATGATTGTACGGTTTTTGCGTTCATTCTACTGGGGTGTGAAGGCTGTGGTCAGCTGTCGTTTGATTCCATGCTCTCTACAGAATTCCTTGAACTCATTTGAGTTGTATTCTCCTCATCTATCTGTTCTTAGACATTTGATGAACAATCCAGTTTGCTTTTCCACAAATGCTTTGAATGTCTTGAACTGATGAAATGCTTTTGATTTTTCTAGCACAAAATATATCCATGTTTTTCTTGAGAAATCGTCAATGAAGCTTATCAAGTACCTTATTTGACTGTTTGATGGTGGATTGATCGGACCACAGAGATCAGAGTGAATAAGCTGCAATCTTTCAGTGGCTCTCCACTTGCTCTACTTCAGAAATGGAACACGATGGTGTTTCCCTTTGACACATGCCTCACAGGTGGTTTTCACATCTCCAATTTCAGGTAATCCCACAACCATCTCTTTACTGCATAATGTGTGGAGTCCCTTGTAGCTGAGATGCCCATATCGATGGTGCCACAGCTCTGCCTTGTCTGAGATATCAACCTGCAAGCATTTCTCCTCTTTTGTTTTGTCATTTGATTCACCTAGCAAGATAAACATTCTATTAGCACTCATAACAGATTCTGCTATCATTCCTTTCGAGAGATGAAAGATGTTGCATGTGTTCCAGTCTCCTCCTTTGAATAGCACATCTAGACCCCTTTCTTGAAGTTGTCCAACACTCAGCAGGTTGTTCTTCAATTCCGGAATATAATACACATCGTTGATCACATAGTTTATTCCTTTAAGCATTATTTTTACCACTCCTTTCCCACCAACCATCAGTTTGTGATTGTTCCCAAGCTTAACATTATGTGTGAAGCTAGTGTCTAAACTTGAGAACATACCTCTTTCTCCACACATATGGTTTGAACATCCAGAGTCCACGAACCACACATCTCTTCTTCGAGCACCTTGAAGCTCCACATACGTCATGAGAAGAACTTCATCCTTTTCTTCGATCTCTGCAAAATTTGCTCCACTATTCCCATTTGGACATTCATATTGGAAATGTCCAAGATTATGGCAGTTGTAACACTCGATTGTTGCTTTGTTGAATGAGCGTCCTCTACCCCTGCCTCGACCTCTGTATGATCCTCTGCCTCTAACATTGAGAGCCTGATCATCTTCTTCATGACTGATCTTCTTAAATTTCTTTTCATGTACAGACAGAGAGCTTTGCAGTTCGTCAATCGTCATCCTTTCTGTGTCTTTTGACTCCTCGATGGACACCACTACATATGTGAATTTGTCAGTCAGAGTTCGAAGTATTTTCTCAACAATCTTTGAATCTGTCATGTCTTCTCCGTTGCTTCTCATCTTGTTGGAGACAGACATTACTCTTCCAAAGTAATCATCAATGCTCTCTTCATTCTTCATTTCAAGAACCTCAAAATCTCTTCTTAAGGTTTGGAGAAGAGATCGCTTCACCCTTTCGTTGCCTCCAAACTTTTTCTTCATCGAATCCCAAATGATCTTGGATGTTTTGCGATTCAAGATCTGTTCAAACACAACCCGATCAATTGCCTGGAACAGGTAGTGCTTCACTTGATGGTCCTTCATCTTGATCTCATCAAGACTCTTCTTCTTTGCTGCTGTCATTTCAACTCCTTCTGCTGGTTCGTCGTAACCCTCTTCCACTAGACTCCACAGACCCTTGGCACGTACGAGATTTTCCATCAGTTCACTCCAGTGGTCATAGTGACCATCAAATTATGGAATCTTGGTGAGTGTTTTGTCGTCGCTCATTTTTCTTTCTCTTAGATCACTCTGTTTGCTTTGGCTCTGATACCAAATGTGAACTGTAAATTTGAGACTTAGCAAATGCACCAGAATAATCTATCTTTATTCATAGGTTCCAATGCCTTTTTATAGGAAATACATGAAAGTTAAAGAAAAACGAAAATACAGGACATGACTCAACTAACTCCACTACTGACAGAAAAATAGGAAATAGAAATTGACTTGTTCCAACCCTGAAGAATAGGTCTTTATTGAAGTAAACTAAAAACTGAAGAAAAACCAACTCAACAATACGATGTGATTTCATAAAGAATTGAAGCAGTTTGAAATTTGAGAGTTATTGATTTTCTTTATGTGTTCTTAGTGTTGTTAAGAAAGAAGAAGCAAAAATAGTATTTTGATCCAAAAACCTCAACTGAACAGTGTTAAAAGTTGTTTGGAGTGTAAAGAATGATTTTGCAAAACTGGAGTTAAAAATTAATGACATGAATAAGCCTTTTCTTTAAGGGCAATGGCATAGATGAGCCAACTTTTAACCGATTGCCTAAATGAACCTTTTCTAAAAGTTCAATGGCATATTTGAGTCCTAAAAACAAATAGGGCATTAGATGGATTCGAGATTGAAACTAAATGACGATGGAATAGGAAGCATCCATTGCATTGATTGAGCATGACATTCAAAATATAAAATAAAAATTGAGAGCAAAACCGATTATTTTATAAGAATAAAAATTAATGTTGGATTGCTATATGTAATGTAATTATGGTACATGATGGATTAGTTGAAGAAATAGCATAGGAAAGAGATAAGTGAGAAGAATAATGTAAAAGCAGTTGTAGATGCTGATGAAATCTTATGAGCTCCCACTGTATACACATTTTCAGAGTTATCATCTTTCACCTTAATGTTGGAAGAACCTGAAAATCAACCATGGTATATAACTCAAAAAGAAAAAAAAATTGCTACAAATATATTGTAACTATACTCACAGTCATATTGAGTCCAACCAAGCGTCTTTTTTTCAAGATCATATAAAACAAGCTTGTTTGATAACACAAGATCTGCATCAAAACAAACGTTAAGTACTACTAGTATTTTTCTTCTCATTTATCTCGGCAAATTGAGAAAGGGGTAAAGTGATACCTCCTAACAGATAAAGTTCATCTCCATCCTTTCCCTTCATTCCCTCTTGCCAACCGATACACCAGTCATCGTCCTGCAAAATTATGCCATGAGATGATATGATTAAATGTTGTGTGTACCATATTTATAGGATAAAAAGATTGCATAAAAGTTATTAAGTGTATGATCTCTTAATAGTGTGAAGCCTTTGGGGATAAACCGTGCAAGCTTGGCCAAATATCACACCATGTTAAGAGTATATTTAGTCCCTAACATTAACAATAAAAGAGACTTTTAATTCATATGCCATCTCTGCTGCAAAAAAGGCCCCTATAGCCGAATAGCAAAACATGTCTAACATTCATTTTGGAACTATCCCATACAATTTCATAGAATGAATAAGATAGAAAATGCATAGTTAGATTACTTACATGAAGTTTGAAAAGATAATCATGGGGATAGGCTGTCAAAGTAAGATTTTCCATAAACTTAAATGATACAGCGGGGAAACCATCGTCAACACTGCACCGTACCAGCAGATTAGACAAATATTAGGTTGATCATAGTAGAAATAAATTTTCAAACTTATGAGAACCTTACTTTCCACTGTATGTAAAGCACTCGAAGCTACCCTCATGATGATGAGTCTTCAACTCTGGTTGTTTTGCCATAAGCTATAATAGGAGCAGAGAATGAAAAAATCAGGCAGTAAGGGAGAAATAAATATATTTTGTAGTTGAGGTTACCTTGTTCATGAGAGCATTATAGACCTTGCTTGGAAGATATACTAAAGTTGTTCCACTGTCAATTACTGCTGTTTTACTAGACTTCGACTCAAATATGGAAGTCGGAATGTTTAAAACTTCACCATCAACCTCAATATCCTTGAGAGAAATAGTATAATGTGGCCTAGAGCATTTCAATTCAATCAGTACTTATCATCTTAGTACGTTTTTGTCTAATTATTTGTGCTACTGCTTGTGTAACTAATTAAGCACAAAAACTCATTAGTTGATAGAACTTCATTAGTACAATTTGTGAACATTGAAGTATATTTTTGGCACACAAAACTCTAATTGATTTGACATACATACCGATTTGGGAGTAATGGGGTTGAGTTTACTTTTGGTTCAACTACTTGTCCAATAGCAAATATACCACCTCCACTAACTCCATCAAGGCAATGTGAAAATACTCTTTTGACAGTTCCAGCAGCAGCTAACTGTGAGATGACGGACGTGTTTGCTGCTCCAAAACCAATTATCCCATCAACTGCATTAGTAGATGTACCTAGGTCTCCAGATTGTTTAGATGAGCACCTATCTTGGATAAAAAAACAGGTAACATAAATGTATATCTAGCCACGTACATACATACACACATAACAGGTAGAAAACAGGACGACTTACGTACCCAAATGCTACATTTCCTTGGAGGGGTGATGTGTTATTGTCTCTAGAGACTTGATCTAAGTAAATGTTATCTTTTACAAAGTATCCTCCGGTTGTGCTTCCATCTCCGTAAGTAACCATATATTCACAGGGTTTTCCCACCTTGCAGTCTGAGCTAGTTGCTTCAAACATTGTAGCACAAACATCTTGATCACAGGTAACAGATTTCCCACTCGTTGACGCTTGTAAGTTATATTGTGCCATCTCTATCTATTAGTATTCAATATACATACATAAATATATCAACGGAAGTCAAGTTAAAAAGATTGATAATATACACATAAATATTGATTACCCCGAGTTTGCTTGTTGTAGGGCATTTGTCACATCCCGCACAATTTAGCCATAAAAGGTCACTTCCAGTATCAACCTGAACATGGTAGTCCTTGGAAGGTGTTCCAATTGAAAGCTTAGTGAAATATAACCTGCATACCAAAAACCAAATAAAAACATTTTTAAATGTTTGTTTACTTACATGCATCCGTCCATAATTATCATTTATTTAGATAATATATATATATATATAAAGTAACTAACGCTGCACTGGTAGGACTGCCATTGCCGCCTAATTGAAAATCGGCTGCACCGAGCATTCTACCATGACGATGAACATCGTGGGCTTTGAGGTCTTTCAAACCCAAGCCTCCACGCCCACCAAATTTGTGTTTCACATTGAACACAACATTTTCTCCCTTTGCATGGCCCAACAAAACCAACAAAATAACCAAGTTAATATTTCTCCTCAGATCCATTAATATCTTCACCATTAAAGCTGAAGAAGGAACTTAATTTTCCTTTTTTATTTGTTTTTGTTTTTTGTGGGTGTGGACCTGAGAGAGAAGGGAAAAAGGAAGGGTGGGGTGAATGAAGAAAACGGTAAAAGACCAAAGGGAAAAAATGAAAGGCGAAGGATAAGAAAAACAAATGAGAAACACACAAAAAAATTCAACAAGGAAATGACAAGTGGAGTGTTCAAATACCTTCACTTCCCGTAAATCTTTCGTGGAAATTTTCAAATGCCTTCTCTCCCCCTCTCTGTATCTCTGTATCATATATTCATCTAATAAATTAAATATTATATTATATTATATTAAATACCAAAAAGTAAAAAGGTTAATATACCTAATTCATTTTGAGAAATTATAGAATAAATATTATGCTTAACATAGTTATAGAATTCTAAATGCTCCAATAAGTAATTCATATGATTAATCCACTAATAAATGGGTGAATAAAATTTAAGGTTCAAGAATGCACATCAAGAAAAGTTATAAAAAAAAAAGAAGCTATAATTAAGAGCTTCAGATTAGTGACTTTGATAGCCTTCAACAAAATTTTGTAGACACGACCTAATTATTTTACCCTCTACAAATAAATTGTTTAGTATTTTTTTTTCTATATGTAATTTTCATATTTATTTATGTATTGGCTTATGGATCTAGTTGAAGATATGATACTTATTTAGGATTATTATACAATTTGTATGACACTATTGTTGTTTTTATTCCATGTATGGTGATATTTTGTGTCCTACTTTGTCACGATTTAAAAACTAGGGTCATAATGATACCTACTAAAATCCACTCGTAGGTAAGTTAACTCTTTGCCCGAAATCAACAATAACGGGCCTAGAGAGCGAAAGTAGTAGAAAGAAACATAATAAAACAGAAATAAAGTAAAAGCAGTGGAAATGGGATAACAACTACATATACACAACCCTCGAATGAGGAGAAAATACAATGATCCATCCCAAAGCTTGATGGATGCTATTACAAAGCTACCACAAAATATGAGTACATACCAGACATATATAAACTATCTCAAAAATACAAAAGACTTGTCAAAAATAAATAGACGGAGATGAGCCAACTACAAATGTCAATAAGCTCACCCCCAATCTCCAAAAAAACCAACTGCAATAACATGACAATCAACAAGGGCGGCTAGAGCCCGGATATGCATCAGGAAAAAGATGTAAAGAGCAATATGGATATCAAAACATGTACTTAGTAGGCATCATAAATCGTCTGATCTCACGATTGCATTAACGTAATAACAAGTGAATACTTAACAGGATAATAAGGCAATAGTAAAGGTGTAACTAGGCATGCATCAAAGTAAAGCTACTATGGTAATAATGAAAGCATTAAAGTTATCTAAACCTAACTAGACTCACATAAGCTCAGTACGCACATACAAGGCATAATAACGACAAACCATGTAAGTAATAACACAATCGAACCCCCATAAGCCTGACAGGTACAAACAAAATTTATCCTACAAGGCAAAACTAAATAATAAACAACAACACCGTCCCAAAATCTGGCATCGGGGGAAACCCCATGTGACCTAGTATCTCTCATAATCTTACTATCACTCCCCAAACTAGGAGAGGCGCAACTGGCACTCAGTACCTCATTCGACCGAGCTAGTGTCACGATCCAAACTGTTGTGATTGGCACCCACACTAACCCTTCGGTGGTTGAACCATTACTACAATCTAACTTAACGAAAACTAGAACATTTAAAGATACAGAAGCAGGTTTAAATGTCTAAGAAATATAGACTTCCCATAAACTCCGAAGTTTAATAAAAACAACTACCAAAACATATGCGGAAAATAACCCCTAGAACCTGAAAGTCAATGTACCAAGACTCAGATCAACTAACAAGTTTAAGAAAAGGGGGCGCAACCCCAAAAACTAAACAAAACACCCTAACAAATTTTCTGAGTCCGAAAAGAGTGGACTTAAACAAGAAAGATCCATGGCAGCCTGAAAAAACTGGCTCACCCTTGAATCCGGTCACACTCAATAGTCACCTAGCTGAAGTTTGTCAATAGTCGCCTGAAGATGCCTTGTACTCAACAAAGAAAGAGCAAGTGCAGTATCAGTACACAACCACAGTGTACTAATAGGATCACACGGCCACTCTCATAAGCATAATACACGCAAGTAAATTACAACACAATAAGCATCCATATACAAAATACAGTTTAATCATTATATTATAGCAACATACAATCTCCCATTATCAATAACAAGTAGACATAACATAACAATAACAATAACAATGGTCCTCTCATGGAACCCACACCCAAATTGTTAGTGTATCGGAACATAACACCCGATCCAATGTATGTGTCAGAACGTGACATCCAATCCAATATATGTGTCGAAACATGACACTCGATCCAAGGTATGTGTCAGAACGTGACACTCAATCCAATCAGCACAATCACATCCATAATGAACAATACTCAAATCATACAATCAAGTAACAGGTTCATTGCATGTATTGTTCACACATCATCATTTCATTAGATTGGTTCACATTTCCCTATTCACATACACGCATGCATACCATGTAGCAATCGACTGGCATATATCACACAAACAGGAAATAAAACCATTACCTACATTGAAACCAAGCTTGAATCCTCCTAAGACACTTGAGCCTTCCCTTTACGGATTTTTTCCGCTTGTTCTTGGTCTACAAACGAGTAATTTAACATAAGGATCAACAATTAAGGTCTAATTTACCCAAGACCGAACCCATGATCCTAAAGTGCAGCTAGGGTTTTTCCCCACCATCAACTTTAGGCCAAAACTCTCCCCCAATGATAATTAACTAAGAATCTAAGTTCTACGGATTGAAAAACAGATTAGGGGAGTAAAATCCTTACCTTTAGCACTAAAAGTCGTGGAAAACTGTCAGGAAATCATTGTGGGACGTCTCTTAGCTCTTAAGAACGAAGTTTTGCAGAAAATAATGATTTTGGGGTTTTTCCCCGACTTAAGTCGCTACTGGCCCGCCATAGCGGTCTCTAACCCACCATAGCAGCCCCGCCCTGGCAGGAATAATCCCACCCCGACGGCTTACACGGAGACAGGAGCTTGGAACTTGACTCCCATTTCACAACACACCTTCAATCATTGACATTCAGAAACTACCCTTTCACGCCAAGATCATTTTCGGGAGTTCTACTCGCCCGAATTTGATTTTGTAAATCCGTACAGGCTACTTAACGTCTTAGCTATCCACTCATATGATCAAATTCATAATTAGATTCCTCATTCATTACCACATCTCTCTACACCTCCCCTTACTCAAATTTCGTCCAAGTTTGGCCTAGGCTAGAATTTCTATGTACTACAAAAAAAGTTTTATGGCCCAAATTCCTTCCCCATTTGCTTTTCCATAACGACGGGAACCGGTCGTTACAATAGATATAAATTTACCCATCACTCGTCCCCGAGTGACAAACTAGGACAAAAGGGCTAAAGCAAGAGTAGAGTAGTACCTAGATCGTCGAATAACTGGGAATACTTGTCTCGTATGTCCTTCTCGATTTCCCAAGTAGCTTCCTCAATCGGACTGTAACACCCCGAGGCTACTCCCTAGACGCAACACGGGACCTAGGATCACAAGTGACCCCAAGTTAACCCTACTGGCATGACATGAGCATACTAAGAATAATATTCACTAATGCGGAAGCTAAACAAAAGTAAATCTGAAATGATGGGGAATTCCCATATACTAAAACTAAATATATCAAATCTGAGAGTTTAATACAAAAGAAATATCAAACTCAAATACTAAGTTGAATCTAACTATATCTGAAAATAACCTCTAACTGACTAGAAGTGTTAGGACATGCCCCAGCTAAGTCTAGCAAAAATGAAACTAAAAGACTGAAAAATTGAAAGATAACATGAGTATTGTCCTCGAAGAATGAGGACTCACCACTGATGCTGCTGAACTGGAGATCGGGAACCGATCTAAGCGTGATCTGGATGTTGAGGGCCTAGACCTACATCACGAGAAGATGTAGTACAGAGTATGTGTTAGTACTTGAAAGGTACTAAGCATGCATGATAGAGTAAAGCTGATATAAACATATAACTGAACGAGCAATAAAGCAAGAGTATAATCTGAACATGATATAGATACTGAATACTGAGCTAATTGAATGCAGTGACCAAATTTACAACATGCTAAGACTAAATACTGACTGTAATAAATGAGATCAACGCATTGGAGTCTGACTGAACTGTTGGAGCTCCTAATAACTGACATAAAACCACATGAGCTAAATGTGGAGTCCGATGTATATGCCCTATCGAGAGAACCCAATACGCTCGACCAAAGGTATAGAGGCATGATGGCGTGATCACTAAAATGATGCCCACAGAAGGGACTTACAACCTATGTGGCTCGTAGTTCTGGGACTATATGGGTGACTAACCCTAGTCCAACTCGGTATTATGCTACTCCCAATAGATTAAATGATTAACACATTAAGACTGAATTTCTGTAATATACTAGATAGCTCAAAACTGACATGCAATACGAGAATGCACATTAATATACTGTTAATGACACATTCAAGACTAATGCATGTATATCTGAAATACTGAAATATCTGACCTAGCATATGTAATTCAAGAACTACATAAATACATAGCTAGGGTTCTGAAATTCATGCAAGAAATGAAGTAATAACATGATAATCTGATTTGGAACATGTAAATAACTAATTCATGATAATCTGTTGAAGTTCTAGAAACCCTAGGTCTAGTTAATAATAGGGAATCAAGAATCTGACTGAATTCTAGGAACCTAATGGGAAAAAGGAACCCACTAGTGAAATCCCACAAACCTGGAGACGAATTCCATGGAGAAATCTTTCGATTTTAGGGCTGGAACTGATGGAATCTTGCTGCGTTCTTGAACTAGGGTTTGGTCACCTCTTCCTTCTCTCTAC